TTGGCCATACAGAAGAAAGGTTGAACAATAATTTGGGAATTGCTTACTTTTTTACATAATACTTATTGTGACCTTATTATCTTTTTTATTTTGCCATCTTCAAATACTCAATATATAAATTAAAAAAAACTAAGACTAAAACTAATAATAAATAAAATGAAGCCGTTTTGAAATAAATTTAAAAAAAAAAGAAATCCCAAACTATTCATCTTGAGCACCGCATTGGTAAGGGCCGGGCCAAACATTTTGTTACATATCCGAGCGATCTTACTGCACTTGCTGATCTCGCAGCTCTCTCTCTCCACGTCGGGGTCAGTGGTGTAGCACCACGGCACGGGCGAGGCGTCAGGGTTACGGCAGTAGTTGTCGTCCAAACTCTTGTCGGGGTACCTGAAGGGAGGACACGCCACGTCTATACGCGAGTAATCGCTTGCCGTCAATGTCAACTGAGGGACGGGTACTTTTCGGGCTGGTAGATGTGCTGATGAGGGTACTGTTGGTCCCAACGTTGGCACTCCCTGCCGCTCGCCGTGTGGTCCACCTGCCCTCGGTAGTCCTCGCCGTTACATGTGATGCACACCTCTGCACGCACACACACACACACGCACACACACACACGCACACGCGCACGCGCACACGCGCACAACACGCGCACACGCGCACACGCACACGCGCACACACACACACACACACACACACACACACACACACACACACACACACGGGTGTAGTCCGCCTTCTGCTTGAAGTCAGCTAGGATAGGCTCCAGCACCCCCCACCCCCCACGCCAGGACCCTGTTCAGGATAAGCGGTGTTGAAAATGGAAGGATGGACATTCTAGCTCATTCACTGCTTTAGCAGGGCGGAACGGTGATGGACTGGTTCGCACGTCTGCCTCACATTGCAGAGGTGCAGGTTTTGATTCTGGCTCCGGCCTTCCTGTGTGGAGTTTGCATGTTCTCCCCGTGCCTGCGTGGGTTTTCTCTGGGTACTCCGGTTTCCTCCCACATTCCAAAAACATGCATGGCAGGCTGTGTGTGTGAGCGCGAATGGTTGTTCGTCTCTGTGTGCCCTGCGATTGGCTGGCAACCAGTTCAGGGTGTCCCCCGCCTACTGCTCGAGGACAGCTGGGATGGGCTCCAGCACACTCATGACCCTTGTGACGATAAGCAGATAAGAAAATGGATGGATACTGTTTTAGTCTGTTGTTGTATTTATTTTATATATCTATAATAGCGTTTCTGTTTTCATATATCTTATGCAGTAGTGTTTCCTCGCTGGGGCGGGGGAGGGGTGGGGGGCATTGATGATGGAAGTTGTAGTGGGCTCTGGCCGTGAAGGGTGCCACCATGGTCGTAAAACAAAAACAAAATGACATTTTACTTTATCAAATAAACCATACCTTTGGTGCCAATGTTTATTTTTATAATAGAAAAGAATGTGAATATTACTTAAATTAGGTTCGGTGCCTTTGCTCCCAGGAACAAAAATGAGTCTGGTGCTATGCACGTGCTCCTACAACAAAACATATTACAGTCTATACATTATCTTACCGTCTTTGCACTGAGGGATGCTGCAACTCTCGTACCGCCGCTCGGGGTCAGTGGTGTAGCACCACGGCCCGATGCGATCCCCATCTGGATTCCTGCAGTAGTTCAGCTCCAAGCCGTTGCTGGGCGAAGGAGTCCACCTGAACACATCACAATTCCACCTCTGAGAACAACGGTGGGCAAACTCCGCGTTTTGTCATTTTGTAGGAGAGTGTTTTCACTGACACCCATGGGCTACCTTTAAATGTACCGTGTGAAAGTGGTCTTAGGCAAATATTTGTCAAATCCATCAATCTCAACTCAACTGAATTTTATACTCACCTGTGATCGTGAGGGAACTTGGACCACCACTGCTGGCAGGTGAGCCCGCTTCGGGTAGTAAACACCTTCCCCCGGTAGTCCTCGCCTTTACCCACGATGCACTTGCGAACGTAGACTGCGTATCAAATACACAAGAACTGTCGGGACCACGTGGGTTTAGGCAACGTCGCACGTCTCTTTCTTACCTTTCTTCTCGTAAAGGTCGCAGTTGACGTTACGCTTCACCTCCGCGTTGCTGCCATCACCCACCCAGCGCAGGTGTTTGCATGTGGCCGTCGGCCGCGTCTCATAGTTGAACGCTCTGGTGGACACATTGACACTAAAGGCTTCCATTCATTCATTGTGTGTGTGTGTGTGTGTGTGTGTGTGTGTGTGTGTGTGTGTGTGTGTGTGTGTGTGTGTGTGTGTGTGTGTATACATATCGATCAGAGATATTGCACAAACATTGAGCATAGTGATGTACTGAGCAACAGACAAGGTATCAACCAAGGGTGTCAACAGTAGTCGATGACAGAAACATTGAGACTGAGAGAGCTGTGAATAAACACTCAACACTCAGTGACATCACTGCAAACGTTCACAAGGAAGGGGTGAAGGGATCACAATCCACTGTTTGAGGAAGACTTATGGGAGAAGAAGTATACAGGCCATACCACAAGGTGCAAACCACTTATCAGAAAAAAATAAAATAAAAATCAGAAGGCCATATTGGATTTTGGAAATCCAGAGATGAGCCATGACAGTTTTGGAACAACATTTTATGGACTGATGAGACCAAGATTAAGCACTAACAAAGCGATTGAGCAACCCAAATATGGAGAAAAAAAGGATCTGCTTCAGGTCCAAAGTGTTACAAGATCAACTGTAAAGCATGGTGGAGGTAATGTCAAGGCTTGGGCTTGGCTAGCTGCTTCCGGAACTGGCTCACAAGTCTTTATTGACAATGTAACTCATGATGGTAGTAGCAGAATGAATTCTGAAGTCTACAAAGCTGTCAACACATCCAAATTAATCAGAGAAGCTTCATCATGTAACATGACAATGACCCAAAACACATTGGCAACACGACAAAAAAACTTGAAACACACACACACACACACACACACACACACACACACAAACACACACACACAATTTGAATCGAGTTCATCGCCACCTCACAGCATATTTTTTATGGACATCATATACAGTACAGTGTACCTGCAGTCCAATGAGAGCGAGCAGTGAGCGGCGCACTCCTCCACATTTAGGACCAACAACATGACAACGTGGGCAGAGTTCCAAGAAGTGGGGACCAGCTCTCGGCCCTCCGAGCGCTGGAAGTCATTCAGGGGACTGCGATAACCTAAATTGAAATGCATCAGACAACAGAGCAGAACATTGTCAGCTTTACGCAGCAGGATTGATTTTGACCCAAATCATTTCTGTCACAGTTAATATGCGGGAATTGTCGAAGTTCTTCAACCCAAATTATGATTGATGCTAAAATATCTTTATTATTGTTATTCATTAATTATGTACTGTTTTGGAAAAACACAACCCACGACTAGTAAAGCACAGTATTATTTCAAATTGACTTGCATTTCCTGAACAGGAAAATCTGTTGCAGTGGTTGGAGTTATTCATTCATTCATTCATTTTCTTATCCGTTTAACCTCACAAGGGTCGCAGGGGGTGCTGGAGCCTATCCCAGCTGTCTTCGGGCAGTAGGTGGGGGACACCCTGCACTTGTTGCCAGCCAATCGCAGGGCACACAGAGACCAACAACCATCCGCACTCACACTCATATCTAGGGACAATTTACAGTGTTCAATCAGACTGCCGTGCATGGCCTGTTTTTGGAATGTGGGAGGAAACTGGAGTATCCGGAGAAAACCCACGCAGGCCCAAGGAGAACATGCAAACTCCACACAGGGAGGCCGGAGCTGGAATTGAACCTCTGCACTGTGAGGTCGACGCACTAACCACTGGCCCACCGGCCCACCGGGCAGCCCGTGGTTGGAGTTATGCGTGATTAATTTCTTTTAAATGATGATCTAAACTAACACACGATTATTTTTTTGGTTTGGCTTGCAACACAGCATGACATTCAGCCGTTTGTTTTTGTATCCCGCCTACTGCTTGAACACAGCTGGGATATGCTTCAGCAGGATCCCGACCCATGTGAGGATAAGCGGTTCAGATAATGGATGGATGGAGGGCTGGATGGATGGACATGAATATAATACTTACAAAGCAATAATATAGAATTATTGATTTAAATTATTTGACAATGAAATACAAACTAAATAGGCGAAATCAGTTTTAAAAATCGCTCATGATAGTTCAAAATGGTCAAAGAATCCACATTAAAGCACTTCACATAGCTGACGCTCTCTTTATGGAAGGTGATATAATCCATTTGTTAAGAACAGTGCATTATTCATATTTTATTGTTGTTGTTTTTTAGTTACTACTTACTAACGTCTACATGATTATATTACACGATGCATTGCGTGTGTGCACTTGAAGTGGAGTACGAAGCAGTGCGTAGTACCCTTGCACACGCGCGCTCGCTCGCACACACACTCACACAGACACACAAACGCACCCCGCGACCTTTGGACGCCAGACTATTTAGATGACTACTGTTTATATTTTTAAGCAGTTTCCACGAGTGAAATAATTATTGATTTGAAATATTTATGTTGACGACATATTTATCTTCCCAATATGAATGTAAACACACCAAAGCTTTTAGTTGATAAAAAAGTAGAAAAACTCACCAGTGACCTGGCCTGATGACAGAAAAAAACACAACATCAGCAGTGGCAGCATCGCTGTAAGGCAAAGATTCGAGAGCGGTTGTAGCACGTCAAGACGTCTCATTCAGATGCTATTTCATTTGCTTAAAACGCGAGCCGCGCCATCACGAGGAAGACGTAAAACGGAGCAGAATAGACGACTCTTTCGAGGGAGAAGATTCCAGAACATGAAATGCTGGACACTGAGCCCTTATTCAAACAAAGAGGCCTTCGTACAAACAAAATCACAGGGGATCAATAAGTTTCACAAATCATTAATCAAGAGTGGCTTTTTGCTCACACGTGCTGCGATTCTCTCAGTGGACGCTAGAGGGCAATACACGCATTTGAAGAGACCTTTATTTTCGGTCGCTCTCGTTTCTTTTTAGCCCGGTAAAGGAAGCGGAAACTTCAGTAACTATTGAAGTATGTCGTGAACATCATCAGGTAATTACTACTTACTAACTAACGTCTACATGTCGAGGGTTTTGTTAAAAAAAAACAGCACTTTACACTTCTAGTGGTTGTGAAAACGGTAGAAGCTGACACGCTTTTGGGGGGGCAGTAAATGAGGCATTAACTGAACATTTTGTGTGAGTGCTTCAGGGCAGGGTGGCATCTTGGTTTTTGATCTACTTGTGCAAACGACATGTTGCTGATGCAATGGGAAATACTATGACGTTCATCTGCCTTCTTATTTGTTTATAGTTTTTTTATTTTTTAGTGAAGAGGAAAAACTCTTATATGGCTGACAGTTTCCGCTGTCAATCAGCTTTCGTTGGAGCTGTCACTGCTTTGTGGAGTGTCTGAAAAACAACTGACCGGGTCGGGAAAATGCAACAGTTTGTGCATCATTTTTTTCATGCTTTTTAAAGGCTCATTGAAATTGTTCTCCTTCTCGTGTGCATGCCTTGGCCACTAGGGAGCAGACTAATACCATCCATGCCTAATAAATACTGTAAGTATTGCCAAGAGTTTCATAACTGACTCAGTAAACTGCTCTATTATTAGTTGTATTTCTTGCAGCAGATAAATACTTACTTGTGAGTATTAGTTGTATTTCTTGCAGCAGATAAATACTTACCTCTGAGTATAACTAAATTGTGTCCCTTCACTTGTTGCTACGCGTTTGTGTTGAAGCTAACACCCAAGTGGTTTGGTCAAATACACAACAGGCAATTATCCAAATTTGATCTTTAAACATAATTTAATTCTTTGTTTTATGCTAACGTTTCAACTGGAAACGGAAAAAAAAACCCAGCATGACATTACCTCTTTTTGAATTATTCACCATATGCTGCTTGGAGTGAAGGTCGTTTCGTCATAAGTATATGTAGCACACAGGAGGTAAATTGTGACAAAAATTCAGCCTGGGAATTTAGTTGGAGAGAGGCTGGCACAGACCGAAAGCGAGTCGGCAATGGAGGGAGGGGCGAATGGGTAGACGCGGCCGACTTGCACCAAAAAGTATTCATCAACGGCGTGGTGCGGACTGTGGCCGACGTGCAGCGATAATTGGGTGAGGAGGGTCAGGGGGGTTCTAATACATGACCATTTTGGCCTGTAAAGGACCGGCCATGTGTGAATTCCCGATGGCCACTACGCTCCTGGGTACCACTGCACTTAAACGACGTATCACTTTCCACCACAATTCCTCTTGTGGGTTCTCGGGTACTAGCTCGAGCCCAGCCAATCACATGGCCGGTTGATTTCATTTGGCCGATATTTGCTTGTTTAAAATGTGCAAAAATGTATTTAACAGATTTATTTAAACACATAACTCCTTAAGACAGGCAATGACATTCAAATACATCGTCAAAAAAGGGGGGGGGGGGGCGGGGTGGAGAATCAGCCGATTTTTCTCTGTTGTCAATTTAAATACTAAATGATAACGTTTTGTAAAACATTCAAATGTCCTGCGTGCAATTCATATCTTTCTTTCCTAGATGGACCGGCGATCAATCTGTTATTGGAATTTTATCCTCACAAATATTAGATCAGCATCGGCCTAAAAAAAAAAAAAAAAAAATCCTCATCTGTCAAACCTCAGTACTGACCATGTTGTGTGTATGTGTGTTCAGGATGTCGCAGGTGGAGTTGAGCGAGGGCAACGTAGAGGTGCCAGGCTGCACGTCGCCACTCTTCTACAGACAGAGTCGACCTTCCTCGGGAGACGTCAAGATGAGAATTTTGCTTCTTCACGGTCGCCGCTTCTCCTCGGAAAACTGGCTTAACATCGGTACTCTTCACGCGCTGGCCGATGCCGGCTGCCGAGCAGTTGCCATCGACCTTCCAGGTGAGTGGAACAGGAACCGGTCGTTTATCCATCCTTAGGGCTTGCCGACATTAGAATCACGAGCTGGGCCAGTCTACGTTTAGTGTTGGTGTAAAAAAAAACCTTAATGTCAGGAAACTAAGATCAGTCGTCACCCAAATTCATGTAGACATCTCTACTTATGCCCACTTCAACCTCTGAAAATATCAGAACCATCATCCCAATAATATGGATTTTATAGACGTTTAGCCTTTTCCACTACATCTGGGGTCTCATACTCTTTTTTTGTTCCAGGCTTCTCTCAGAGGGCCGATATGATTGTGAAACCAAATAAATGTTTAATCGTCATTGTATTATTACATATACACAACAAATTAATGGATTATTACTTCTGAAATCAAGAATAGTTTGTTCAAGTTACCAAAAAAAGGTAAAAAGAACTCATGCAAGAGCGAAAATTATTTAGCACATTAAACATTTTGGTACCGATTTTTCAAAATGAACATGGAAGTTGACACATGATTTGCTTTGGCGGGTGGGATCTGGAAAAGCTTAGCATCAGAAAACTGAAGTATCACCAAAATGTATGTGGATATCTGGACTCATGCCCGCTTCAACCTCTGTAAATATTAGAATGATAACACCAATTGTTTGGATTTTTTGGTCAACATTAAGCTTCTATAGCCGAGTGAGCGCCTATGGAGAAAAAGGCTTAAGGTCCATATTATCCCAAATAAAATATTGGGCTGACCATTCTAATATGTACGGCAGTTGATGTATGCATACGTTGAGATGTTAACATCATTTTTGGTGAAGATTGATCACGGTTTTCTGTGAAGGGGAATCGGCAATAAAAATATATTGGGGCGATCGCTCGTGTTTAATAATTTTAAGGTTGAGGTGAGCATCAGTAGAGATGTGCACATAGATTTTGGTGATGATTGCTCATAGTTTAAGTGAAACACGCTTGTCCACAGGACTGGGCCGCTCCAGCTCAGCCGAGGCGCCAGCAGCCATGGGCGAGCTGGCCCCCGCTGCGTTCCTGACGGACATATGCGAGCGACTGGAGCTGAGCCCCGTGGTGCTGATCAGCCCATCACTCAGCGGCATGTATTCGCTCCCCTTCCTGCTGCAACACCAGCACCTGCTGCGGGCCTACATTCCCATAGCGCCCATCTGCACCGAAAAGATCAGCGCACAACAGTACCGTAATGTCAAGGTCACGCAACGTGCTTTTATGATTTAGACTTTCACAATGCAAGTCGTGGAACATTTTTGCTCATGCCACTTCATGTGGGCGGAGCATGGTGTCAAGGTTAAATGATCATTTTGAGAGTTACTTTTTTGTGAGCGTCACAAAACATAACCTAGAGCTGAATTTTCAAGGTTAGTAAATTAAAATGAGCGCTTTTTGTAACACAACAGGTGCCGTCACTGATCGTCTGTGGTGATGGGGACACTGAGCTGGGGAAGGTGTCGCTTAGCAACCTGAGTCAGCTGGCGAATCACAGCGTGGCGGTGATGAAAGGGGCGGGGCACGCCTGTTACCTAGACAACCCGGACACGTGGCACCGGCTACTCACGGACTTCCTCGCTAAAATCTGAGGTACAGTACATGTTTCTTGGATTACAAATAAAATAAAAACGTGATGCAAATAAAGTGAAGTGAAAAATATGAACATTATTTATTAACTGATTCTCTGTAATAAACAATTTGAAAATATTTTACAAGGAGTCACAGACACGTTATTTTACAAAGTTTGCCCCTCTTTTGTTTGTTTTTTTTTCTCTCATCTTTTTTCCGCATAGCTTCATCTGTACAAAAACAATGGAGCGACAAACAAAACAAAGAAGGAGCTCAAGTCATTCTCTCTCACAGGCACGCGTACGCGCGCGCACACACACACACACACACACACACACACACACACACACACACACACACACACACACACACACGCTTACTCACGAGAAAGAAATACAAAATCAAAATCTGTTTGGACTTCAGACCTCAGACTTATCAACAGTGCTCTTTTCCTATAATTATATTTTGATATATATATACTGACTTCACTTTGACTGATTCCGACTTGTTTTCTCTAAATGTTATTTTCTTTTGAACACACACTTTTGTCAAACATGGTCACGTAGCACCAGACTACACACTACACAATCACATACACACTGTCCCCCACACCCCCAAACACACACGGACACAGCCCGCCTCCCCTTTTGCTTCTTTTAACCTGCTGCCCTCCGCCCTTGTCACAAATTGATTTGATTTTCAATTTTGACAAACCTGTCAAATTGCAAATGACACACTAAGACTTCGGTTGACACGTTTTAAATATATATATTTTTTGATACCCGCCTCTGTTACATTTGTTGCCCACTAACAGCTGTTCTCTTCTCGAGTGTAATAATCTGAAAGTAGCAGAAACAAAAATGATCCTCATAAACATGAGGAATTTTAACACTCAAGTTATGTTCCTTTTGGAAAAACAGCAATAATATATCTGAGTCAGTTTGAACCAAAAGTGTCAGAATTGAAATTTTAAAAAAGGTGTGAACATTATTTCAATGTACCGGTAATTATTAACCATTTCAATCAATATTTGAGCTGGGGTGTGTTTAATTTTCTGAACATGTCAGGAAAAAAAAGGTTAGTGTATATTTTTGGGTAAACCTGCCGACAGAAGACGTGCATCACATTATGTATGACATCACATGATGTCATAATGCGAGGTGACATTTGTGTATTTGTCACCATCCCGCCATCCTGTTTCATTAGTTTCTCAGGTGTGTTGTTTTTGTGGGTTATTTTTTTTCACAATGCATTATTAACTCCGTTTCTGTTTCAGTCAATATTGAAAACTGATTAGTTTGACACGGGGCGTGTTTAATTAATAATTTAAAAGTGTCGGAAATGGCCCTTCCCCCCCAAAAATGTGATCTGTGTGCGGATGCACATTAGTATTACTTATGTAATGATGCATCTTGTTACGTTTGCCACTTAGGAACAGCAGTAGTAATCATCCAAAGGTGTCAGATAAACAACAACAAAAAATATCCCAATATATCCCAATAATGATCTAAAATACGGTGGGGGTGTGCGGGGGCCAGGGGGATCAGAGCTCTGTTGTGTGTGACACTAAGGCATTCAAATAGAGAGGCGTCATTTTTCTGTTGCATTTTAAAAAGTCAAAACACCGACCGACGAACACATTCTGTTTATCCAAAAAGCACGACTCCCTTTTTGTTTTTTTTTAAAACGTCCATAACACTGGGTTGTGTTCATTGCAACACACAAACAAGAACATAAAAAACAATCAGCTCTCGCATCACACGCAAAAAGACATTCCACTCGATTAATGCAAACACACACACACACGTAACTCAGGCAGAACTACAGGAGTCAAGTGGCCTGAAAAAAACAAAACAAAAAAATATACCCCAATAATAAGGCTAGATTTATGCTGCAAGTGGCACAATTCAGATTTGCTGTTTTTTTTTTTAATGAGCAAAATTGACTTTTTTTTTTTTTTGGTGTTAATTTCCAAGGATGTCCTCGTAACTCTCTGTGACTCTTCCAGGTTTTGTTGTATCTGTATCGCAATACGGAAACAAATGACAAAGAGTATTGGTCGGTTCATGGATGAAGCACCTTTTTGTAAATGTTGGGTGTTCTGTTTACTGGAACATTAAACAGTCAGTTGGACATTAAAGAAGTTAGGAAGGTCAAATTAAATTCAGCTGCAGGGGTTGTTGAGCATTTTTGATTCATCCTGAAATTTCAAGCGAAAACCCCAAAATCCAAACTTTTGGTGAGTAGTATGTATAACTGTGGAGCGACCACCATGTTTTCTTGAATTTCTTGTTCATTTTAATGTCTGGTACCATTAAATGTGTATCACATGACTAACTGACCCAAAGAAAAAATAGAATGCTTCAATGGCACCCTTTCTGCAGTACCACACCATCCATAGTTAGTTATTTAAGAAGTTGAGAAGTGATTTTGGTTATTATCAAGAAAACCTTTCGATCAGCTCTTGAATTCAACTCTCATGAGGTAAATTGTTCCAAACAAATGTACCTTTAGTTGTATTTCCATTTTAACAGGAAACTTAAGAAAGTAGGGTGGTCTCTTAATTTGTTCACAAATACTGTATGAACACATAAAAAGAAAAAACACTCATCCACTGTCAATCCAAACTTCAGCCAATGCATAGACAATTAAATATGGTCAAATTATACAACATTATGGTTACGGATGGGGGGGGGGGGGATAAATAAGAAAATCGAATTCCCTATGGCAATGGATTAATGTGAGGGTTGGCCTCGGTGGGGAGGGCAGGATGGGTGTTTTAGAGTCAAGAAAATCGGATTTGGGCATTGACTGAGGAATTGTGCACTTGGACCTGCAGCTTAAATCCAGTTGAAGTGTGTGTACTGCTAGCCTACTGATCATACCTCGAACGCATGGCTTTGTCGTCGTGATGGCAGTCAGACGGCTGCTCTACCGAAAGCCGAGCCCTCTCCAAGATGGCCGCTCGGTTTCAAATAAACAACGATACGATACAGTTGCTATGCTCGTCCACTACGAAGTGCGTCAAGGCACTATTATGAAACAAAGCGGCTCCTAACAGTCTAAAAAGAACGACCACATGATCAGGCGCGGACTACTTACTGCGCGCGGCGACGGCGACGTTGGGTGGCCATTTTGGGGACAGCATGATAAGGCCTGGATCACCCTGGCAGTGAATGACGCATCCGATGAAAGAGCTCGTGACGGAATGCAGTTTAGCGAGAAAAAGCAAAGCCTTCGGTGGAGTACCGAAAAGTGAAAAAAAAAAAAAAAAAAAAAAGACATAAAATTGCGAGAATAATATTCCGATATCACGAGAGGAAATTAGGATTTTTACAGGAAAAAACGTTGCATTTGTTAAAGGTGAATGTCAAACATGAACCAAATTCTGGTTTTTCCTAACCAAGGTGTATATGTTTGCGACAGTACCACTTTATTTTGTTGAAGGATTACATTTTATCCCCATAAAATGATTCTTGTATTGCCTTAAGAGGATCTATTCTTTTACATTTTTGGGAAAAGTCTAACTTTACTAAGATTGAAATGTATTCTCATAAATTCTTAGGAAATTGCAATCATAATGTACATAAAGAATGTTTTGTAAGATTGCAGCTGCGTTCTCATGAAATAACACTTCTCTCAAATTACAATTTGAATGTAAAAAAAATGCGATTATTTCTTCTTGTGATCATTTTTTTTTCACACTATCACAACTTTATTTTCCTCTATAAAATTTGGACATATTCTTATAATATTCTGACTATCCTCACAGTATTATATCTTTTTCCCCATAATTTAACTTCTTCCTATTCCGTTTTCACTATTGTAAAATTAGGACATTTTTCTCATATTACAACTTAATTCCCGTCGAACTAAAATGTTTCTCTTTTAAAACTGATTTAATTCTTGTCGTATTCTGACTTTATTACTGTAAAATTATAACAGATCTTGTCACATTCCACATTTACTCTCGTACAATACAATTTTATTCTCACTATAATACTTTTTTTCCCTTCCTAGAATTGGAAATCGTTACGTTATGACTATTCTTTTGTGGCATTTTCCTCTCATGATATGATGATGTCAGTGTGCAATTTTCCGTCTTAATACATCAGATTTTTTTTCATCTGAACATGATGACTTTCTTCCGGAAATATTAGAACAAATTTTTTCTTGCAATATTCGGACTAGCAGTAAAGAAACCTTTTTTTCCCCCTGCAATATTCAGGATCTATTTTCATAATATTACAACTTAGTTCCATACTACAACAGTTCCCCTGCATAGAATTACTTTTTTTGTGATGTTTTTTTTTTTTGCCGTTATATACTGACTTCGTTCTTGTGAATTTGTGAAATGTTTCATATACAAGTTACTCTTCAACTTCTTAATTTTAAAAAATTAAGATGTCATTCTTGTAATACTCTGGGTTTGTTCTCGTAACATTCCAATGTAATTCTTGTACGATCCAAACTTTTTTCTCATGAAGTCACACACTTTTCCCTCCTAATATTTTAACTTAATTGCTGTAACATTCCAAGTTTTTATTTTTTTGCTCGTAACATTACGACCAACCCCTTGTCATAGGTTACATTTTTTCTCGGGATACCACAACACTATTCTTGCCGCATTTTGACTTCATCCTCTTAGCACTGATCTGTTTTCTCTTCTCGTTCTTCACAGACAGCCTCATGAGGACTGGCAGAGGTGATGTTGGTCGAAATGGAGGTCAGAGAGGTTCTGTTTTTTTTTTTTTTTTTTTTTGGTAATAAATAACACTACACACATCGCTTGCTAATAATAATTGAAATGTCACAGCTGTGTTATTAGAGCGTGAGCCTTTGTGTAGCGAATACAGGCATGTCATTTTTTTTTTTTTAATCCCTCTCGTTAAGCCATTTCTGCTGTGTTTTTGGCTAGAAAAATAAGACCACATGAAAGTCTATCTCATTTTGGCAAGTAGATATAGTAGTGCATAAGTTAAACAATTAAACTTTGTCCCTTTTTTTTTTTTTTTTGGGTGAACAAAAATGAAAATAAAAAGTTTGGAATTCTCTTGACACGAGTGACATGTCTTCTACTTGAGAGTTCTTTTTGGGTGTATTGGTGGGCGTGGGGGTCTCTCCTTGTGTGAGTAACCTTGGCTGAGGACACAGAAGTGAAGCTGGCTAAATAGCGGCACTCAGGGCTTCCATCATTGCCTATAAGACTACTTAAGGTGGTGGTGGTGGTGTGGGGGCCTGGGGGCATCAGGTGCACATATGAGAAGCACAGGACAGCCAAAGTGTGTGTGCGCGCATGGGTGTGTGTGTGCGTGTGCGCGTGTGTGTGTATGACAGATTCGATTATTGTAGTAGTGAGTGAGCGTGAGGGCTGACGACAGGGTAAAGCACGAGCAGCTGAATGAGCAGCAAAGCCACACGGGACGGACGTAAGGAGTGGCCCCGTCCGCAGTCCGACGTGTTCTCCTGAGGAAGGACACACATTGGAAGTACACATGATGTGTAGAAACACGTGGATTTTGCTCCTTATTCCTAATCATCATCTCGGTCAACATCAATTGACTTTGAATTCATTAAGATGAAGGGAAATTGAGAAGTGGAAAATCTGGAATGGCTCTAGACCAGCGGTGCCCAACCTTTTTTGCGTGATGTACAGGTTTAATGTCAGACAATATTTTCAGGGACCAGCCTTTAAGGCTGGATAGATACAACAAAATAATATGATTTGACCTGCATATGACACGAGGAATGTCCTATCTGGCCTCAATGCTCTCTGGTCGCTATGGTAACATTTAAACGTGCCTTCAAAATAAGATACACAAGTGCATGAAAAATACGACTCACCATCGTGGCATATTATGCAGAGCGGGCTTGGTGTGTGGGAATCTCCCCTTAAGATAAATCCGTATTTTAAGTGGTACTTAATACTGTCCATTAAATGTAGCCTTCTTTTTCTTAAAAGTCACAGGCCCCTTCTGTATCCTGGCTGGGCCTTATCCCCTTCCCAAAGATGTTTGTTTTTTACTCATTTTGCTAGTTCCTGTGTTTCATTTTAGCGGAAACCGATCACGTGACCGAGAAGCGCGCCTTGACCTGTGTCAAGAGTGACATACTGTAGACGGATGTAACAGAGAATCCGGTAATTTTTCAAAATAAAACATATTTCAGATTCCGAAATAAATAATACGGAAGCAATGTCAGTTACCATATTGGCCCGAATATAAGACGGCCCTGATTATAAGACGACCCCCTCTTTTTCAAGACTCAAGTTTGAAAAAATACTTTTTGAACACCAAATTAATTTTTATACAGAAAATAATTACAGTACACCTGAAACAGATCATTCTAACAATATATTTGAGAGAAAAAGCATGTTATTTTGCCTCATTCAAATCTTAATATCTGAACATTTAAATATGTAAGCTCAAGTGCAATCACATTTATAACTGAATGGCTTCTGGTTGTTGAAATGAAAATTACATCATAACTTCTCCTCAGCTGCCGGTTAACCTGGCCGATCTTGGAATAACTTTTCTCTAGATTGTCGCTACGTTTCTCCATTTTCTGTTATCTCTTCCATTATTGTCTTCTCTTTTCTTTCTTACCACTATTTTTTCTTTTTCTTTTTCGTGCTACCGCTATTTTTATTTTTTCTTCTTCGTGACAGGGGTTCGCTTTGGCCTGGGGAGTCAAGTTCAGCATTCGCTTCAATGGTATCTGGCGCCATCTAGCGTCGTGAATGGGTATAATGTCAAGACCCCGAATATAAGATGACCTCCAGTTTTTCAGTCTTATTTCAATGCAAAAAACACCTCTTATATTCGGGCAAATACGGTATTTATTCTTTCTGTGCGGCCCGGTACCAAATGACCCACGGACCGGTACCGGCCCGAGGGTGGGACCGCTGCTCTAGACTACAGTACTGATATTATCAGTTTCTAAAATGCTAACAGCAAATAGAGTGTTGAATTTTGCAATATTGACATTGCGATATTTAACATTGACCTAAAGAAAGGTAGAAACCCATAGGCTCCGTATTCATGTACTATTTCTAATGCTAACATGCTGATGATTGATACGCTATACAAGTTAGATGGCATTTCTAGGCGACTGGAACAAGCTTACCGCGTTGTTGTTGTCAAAACAGGTGGAGGGTCCTTTTCTATAGCGTGCCACTGTCATTTCCTCACACGGGTTCTCCTCCATGACTGCAAATAAACGATTACGGAAAAAGAACGGAGATTCTTGACATGTCAATGACATCATCGCCGCAAAGGATACACTCCTCCTCCTCCTGGGACAGCTTTTCGATCTCGCAGGTGTTGCAGGGCATCTTCTCAGCCACCACGAACAACAGGTTGGTGTTGTTTATCCTCTTGGCGTGGATCAGCCTGAATGGAAAAGACACTGCACTTCATGAAGTTGTTGTTCTTGACTGTGTGTGTGTGTGTGTGTGTGTGTGTGTGTGTGCGTGTGTGTGTGTGTGTGTGTGCGTGCGTGCGTGCGTGTGTACCTGGAACAGTTGCCACAGTCCTGCAGCATGTTGAAGGAGCTGCTTAGGTTGCTCAGGTAGTACTGAGTCTGGATCATGACACAGCTTCTATCCTTGGAGTCCAGCCCCTCGGCATCCACCTCGTCTGGCGTAGCCATTGGAAACACACACACATTAGCACACACACGCACACGCACGCACACACACACCTAGTCTATACACTACTCACAAATTGTTAGAGTTTTGGGTAAGATTGGAGTTATTATTTTTTGTGTACTGTGCTGTGTTGTTCATCTTGAGCACACCACATAATGTTCATTTACTGGCACTGCTTAGACCATTTTTGCCAGAATTCTGTCCCCCTCTCTCATATTTTAAAAAACAGCATGCATGCAGCACACTTGAGAGTAGTGAGATGAACAAAGACCTTTGCTATTTGCTAATAAGATGTACATTTAAAACAAATGCTGAGAGTAATTCCTGTTGGCATTTTGGCACCTACCTGTGACAAACCAGCTGTGATAAGCCAGCCCATACATGAATTGCTGGAACAATGACCTGAAGACAAGAAGGGGGTAATGTAAATATTTGATCCATTTGTGTATTCTGCAGCAAACAGGACAAAGCATGAGGTACAACCGCACGTGCTAATGAGCGTCAATTCAAAAACACAATTTCAAACCATTCCCTGGTACACTAATCTTTTTGACTGGCATTATTACAATTCACCCAGCCCCGCTACCTCGTCATGGGCAGAAAACCACAGTGTGGGGTGCTTTTATGTCAATTTCATTCAGAAGTACTTGCTTACAGACCGTTCTTAAGCAACAGGATCACCAATTTTGCTAGGTTGTGTCATTTTACATTTGATAGGTGAGCAGATAGTCCAGAGACCCAACTATTTGTTTATAAGGCATTAAAAAAAATCTATGTCCGTATGTGTCCTCTTGAATAATATGTTCATTATTGTGGCTGTAATTTGCAGTGGTGTAGAACTACAAAACAGCACTTTCTACTATTACTGCAGGTGTACCTAATAAAAGGAATACCATAATCATGAGGTAAATTTCTCACCATGCAGCTGCTGATGTCCACCAAGCCAGGTTAACGAAATCTGGAATCGTGGGCTGCGGACATGACAATTAGTGAATTAAAAATTAATACATGTGTACACTATATACAGCGGTGCTTTGAGATACGAGTATGGACATTGTATGTTTTTAGTACCACAAAGACTCCTCTCCGTGCCGCTCCGGCCTCACTGTTGGGCATGCGTTCGCACACCGACTGGTAGTCGAACGACTGCTTGCGGTAGTAGAAGGAGTTGTTGTAGAGCGCGTACATCAGGGAGGGGTCCACGTCGCTGAAGAACATGCCCACCTGCGGGAGAACGCAAGCAGTCAGGAAAGGGTCTTGAAGAAACAGACTAACCAACTGCGACGGGTCTAAAAGCCACCTTGTTCCAGTCATCCTTCTGGTTAGACATGATAAGGAAGCCACCGTCGTCTACCAAGTAACATAGGAGGTCCTGCAGGCAAATGCAATAGTGGACTGTGAGCTGGAGAAGCCGTGACATGTGCGTTTAGGTGACACATGGACACTCACATCATTGTTGGCTTCACAGTCCATCTCACAGACTCGGTTTGGTCCACACTGACAAATAAAAAGGAAAAGAGATGAGTATAACATGAGGGCACAAAAGGGAGACTCAATACTATGTTACTATGCTATTGTTTGAGTCTGTCCCAACGAGGTACACCTATAACTAGTTGCCAATCAATCGCAAGGCGCAGAGTATGTAGAAAAACAAACATTCACACTCACATTTGTTTGTATCTACCGTGTTACCTCAAATATGTTAATTTCAATAAATTGCCATATCCCAAACTTATTTCCCATGGACAATTACTGGTATTACTGTACCAATTATTTCTTTGCGCACCTGAGTCATTGTTTGATAACAGACACACCAGGGACGGTGTGGTCAGATAGGCAAGTGCTGTCCCCTGCTGTCCCTTACCCTGCATGTGAAGAGTAAAAAAAAAAAAAAAAAAAAAAAAAAACTTACCGGTATTACATTAAATTGTGTTCCATTTTAGTTCTATGGTCCGTGCTTTGCATTGGTTTTCTTTTTCAATAGAATCCTTATTAAAATAGCCGAATGTGCATATTTCCTGTTCATATAATGGGCAGGAAGTGACGTAGTTATTGCACGTTCCGTGCCCCCATGAAGACACGAGCATTCTTTGCTGACTCAGGCAGTTGATGCATGCACTCACACGAGATGCCGCCGTTTGTTCTATCGCTAATTAGCGTGTTTTGTCACACATGTACTGCACATGCTGACGTTAAGCAGCCCAATATAGTTCATGAATGTGGTTGACACATTTAGTCACTCTGACAGAAAAATGACTCAAAGTGCATGCGAAAGTCAAGAAAGGAAATTTAGGCTAAGTTTGGGTTTATATTTTTTTATGTCTGACTCCAAAGGGGAAGTGCCTCACCTGTCACGAACCTCATTCATTTGTTTGTGCCTTACTGATTGGCAGTCTAGTACAGGGGTGTCAAACTCATTTTTGTCGCAGGCCATTTTAGAGTTACGTCTTCCCCCGGTTATGATCACTTGTGCACAGCAAATTGATGGATTACTAGTTTTGAAATCAGTCTATTTGTAACTATTTGTTTGTTGAATTATTGTTCCACTGAGTGTAAAAAGTGTAACAAAATTATTGCAAAATCTCAGTACCAGTATTGATTATACGTGACAATTTGACATTTCAGTACAGATTTTAGCAAGGAGCATGGAGGTTGACATACATAATTCGCTTTCGCGGGCCACATAAAACAACATGGCGGGTCGGCCCTGGCCCTCGGGCCTTGAGTTTGACACCTGTGGTCTAGTATATATTTGTTTAACACCACAGTTTTGTAACAGAATTATGTTGTTGTGGTGAACGCTTACTCAAACTGCTACTCAAATCGCAATCTGAATTTTTGGGGAAAACCTTCTTAATCAGATTCGTTTCCATAATCGTTCAGCCCTCAAACACTTTAAGTGAACTGAGGCAAACAGGTCGTCATTGATTGCACATTTGGTTACCGTGTTCGGGCCAAGGCGGTTGTCTGTGTGGTTACTGGCAAGAATCTTGAACTTATCCACCCAGGCTTCAAGATCCAGTTTCACTCCGACGACTGACAAATGACCAAACCAGACAGTTACTGTAAGTATCTTCAAAATGAAAGCAGCATCTCTCTGAAATGCACCTGCTGGTTTGATAGTCTTCCCTCCGACTGTGATGTCCACCGCCGTGCTGACCAGGATCCCGATGGTGTCATTCTCCGGGTTGAGCAGCTCGTCTCTGGCTGCGAGACATATAAATAAATAGTGAATAAACCAAAAGACCGGGCCCAGCATGAGACGCCATGTGGAGCATCGTTCACCTGTACGATAAGGCGCTCTGAAGATGTAACCCCTGTTGTCGAGACTGCGGCGGTAATAGCTGGCGTTAAACGGCTCGGGGTCTTCCTCCCAGCTTTCCGCAGCCCTGACATTTTAAGAGAGCTGTAAATCTCCTCACTACGAGGCCACAACGGCTGTGCTTGTTCCTTATCGGAGTGATTAGACTTTAAACGGCAGGCGTTAAAAAGCATTAACAAGCACAACATAGTCTGGATAAGAAGGTCTCTTACTTGTTGGGAAACACCCGTGTGATTCCTCCATCTGTGGCAGCAAATACAGCCAGAAAACCGTACCTTAAAACACATGAACACGAGCAGACATTAAAGGGGACAGACTATTAAAAAGGAATTTTTCATGGCTTGAATACAAATTGGAGGGTCTTCAGTGTACCTGCCCACGCATCACGTGTGAAATTACACAACAAAATACATTTTTAGTTATCTGCCTAGAGAGTCTATGGCGATGCACTCACGTATTTAAGTCTTTGTTCTTCCACACTTTGTCCACCAGCTGCCTGATGATGCCCGTGTCCAGGATCAGGTTGTGAAGGAGCAAATTGTCGCCTGGACAGGGCAAGACAACACAGATACATTTTTGCACAGAAACAGAATTTCAACATGAATACAAGGCAAAAAAAAGGAGAATCTCAGGAGTTGGAAGGCCCACTGCACAGGTAGGTGATATTCCAGGCTTTTACCACACAGAAAAGATTTCTTAGGTGGATTGATAATTAGATTGTTTTTTTTCTTTGTCAAACGAAACACACCATTTGCATTGCATTAAAGCAACTGCACACGTGTAGAAAAAAAAAGCAGAGGCAAACATGATAAATGTTACTTAAAAACAAAGCCACCCCTCTGTTACAATGTCATGTTTTTAAAATTCACATTTTACAAATGAATTGAATTCATTTTCTGTTTGATTATCCTGTGGTCTATGTTAAGTGAGCCTCTCAAAGATCACTCTTCTGGTACTATGATAGATATTTGGTTCGAGGGAGGACATCCTTCATTGTAATTGGAGAAATGGATGGTTATGTGCGTGCTGTTGGTCATCGATCTCTAAAAACACTAAGAAGACGACGTGATGATTTTGTCATCATATTGCTTTGGGGAGGGGGGGGGGCTCTCATGTTTACCTAGCTACAGTTATTCTTGCTTTTTGTGCACTTTCTGAAATGCCCTAAGATGCCACAAGATGGTAGCAGGGCCCTGTGAAATAGGAACGTACTACTTCGGTGTGGTAGAACAATGGTGAAGTTGCACATCTTGACTGAGATACACGCTTTGTATGTCTGGCAGAGCATTTAGCCTGGGTTATTTGTCTAAGTGATGGAGAGTCTTTGTGTGCATAAACTGTTGCATTTTCCCCTAAATGATACCTTCTGTAAGCCATTTATTTTGATGGGAAACGCAAGTTTGAAACCTTTATGGGGTGACAGTTTGTGGTACATTTATGCTTTAAATATGAATATGGGCAATTACAAAATCCATTGGAGGCTTGAAGCCTATAGTACTCTTCCCCTGCAAATAGTTTACACGAAAGCTGTTATTTCAGTAAAAGATATCATGGAGTTTATGCTGAGTTGAATCCAACTGACATTGCTTGGAGTCAGGCGTCACTTTCTCCATGAGGGCGATGAAGTTGAGCAGAAATTCCGTGTTGTTGCTTGACAACTCCAGGTCATTGCAATATTCCCTAAGGAGAAAAAAATAATTTGAAGACTGCTTGAACTTGCCTGACGCATTACATCCCCAGGCGAATCATGCAGCATCACAGCAGTGGCGGCATGCGCGCAGGGTTGTACTTGGGTATAGTGACGGTGAACTAAATGCCAAGTTTAGGCATCACTCATCAGTGACAATGAAAACAATACAACGCAACACACACAGACAAGCAAACATACAAAATAATCACTCCTGGACGAGATGTGGCATAATGACAACAAAGTGCGATTCCACACAAGGCTACCTGGGTGCAATGAATATATGTCCTTCAGACTCAAAACTGTTTGGCAGCAGTGACTCAAAATCTGCAACAGAAAGGGGGAAGATTATCCAGGAAGGGGGATGAAGGGGCTGAGGGAGTGGAGGACTTGCAGCTGTTCAGGGGACGGAGGGCGGGTGTACACAACGGGACTTTTACCATAGCAGCGTTGAGGAATCATGGGGAACACTAGCGTTAGCCAATATGGTGCCTCAAATAGAACCTGACCTGAATGGGTGAACTTGGAGATTTTTTTTTTTTTGTGTGTGTCTTTAAAAAAAAGAAAAAAAGATCATGATTCAGTGAGGGATTTCAATCCATCATGTTTGGGTTGTCTGAGAAGTGACTTGACTCGGCGTCGCATCAAGAAGCGACTTCTCAGACTCACTCAGAGTTGCAGCGAGACTTGTAGCAAGGTCAGGCAGGCATCAATGTGGCCAACTGTTGCGAGGGTCCTGATGGAGGTGTGGTCGCCCCTCAGACTGCCAGGGCGGGGGGACTCGAAGAGACACATAATCGCAGGAGATGCATTGCATTGTGAAGGGCATGTTGAGGGGCAACGCAAACCACAGTTCAATCTCATGTTGTCACACCGGAGGGTTAGATCTACCAATGAGGTGCCCAGGTAGTCTCCGCCCACAATGCCGTGCACCATCCAGGGTCGGGGGTTCGCTTATGAACCGTTGGGCCACGCGCCTGGCGGTCTGAGGGGTGAGTAACGGGTGTGGCAGAGAGTGTGAGGGGAACAAGCTGATGGAGACGGTTGATTGTAGAGAGGGAAAACACAGGAGGTCGTTGCGCTGAGCTGAAACCTGAGGGGTTGTGGGAGAGGGGAGGGGATGTTGGAAGGTGCTTGAAGGGGGGCTGGACACAGCACAGCCTTGGTACAGACCTGTGCTTGACTGAATGACACCCCAGTTCTACTTGGAGAGGGATGCTCATACTGACGCTTATGCCCCATACGTTTGTTTTTATACAGTATTTTTCATGGCTAGTTTCAAAACATCATTACTTACACATATCGTAACGGGTCCTCGTGCACCCTTTATCATGGCAAATCCTCAAAATGATCATCAAAGTTTGACACCACTCTTTGCCCACGTTAAATGGCGAATGCTACGTGCTCACTAAATCCGTTGCGGGGGCGGATGCGTGCCGGGCGTGGCGGATGACGCGTTCGGAGGGGTGAAACGCGTGCATGCGCACCTCAAATCTGCTCATTTTGTCTCTTCGCCAAGTTAAATAAATTGAATTTTTTACGTGCTTCGCCTCGCGGCAGCCAATCAGATTATTGTTACAGCCTGCTGACACCCCCATCTGTCCAATTCGGCCAGCATTAGGACTGCGACAAAAATAAACGTGAGCAGGCTTGGCGTTTGATGGGTGAGGAGGTTGGCATATCTGGTATGTATTTTATTATTAGCATTATTATTATTATTTTTTTTACAACTGTTGAACTGTCCCAAGTCTAGCATTAACTAGAACTACTGTATTGACCACTTTGTCCTCCATGGCTCTTAGCAAAATGGCTGGTGCAAATGTTATCGTCAAGCAGATGAAGCCCCTCCCTTTCGCCGGTGTGCGCCAAATAAGTTGTTGCCTCACCAGGAACTCCCGGCGTCAAAAGATAGTGAATAAAGCGAGGAGGAACGCTCGCAATGGAGTTGGTATACATATACCAAGCAAATATTCAAAATTTATCTTATTTTTCCTTGGAAACTTGCTTCCAACTGGGGATAATTAGGAAAGATTCCCTTGCAGGAGATCCTCAAATTATGAGACAAATAAAAGAAAATGATCCATTTCCTCTTCAATTCTGTGCACTGAGACTTTTTTATGTGCCCTGGTATGATAGATATGTCCACCCAATTGCATGTCGATTAGTAAGATGGAGCTTACCGGTAGTTTTTTTTTTTTTGGACAATCTCAGTAATAATCATCAAACTTTGACATCATGCTCTGCCCACATTAAATGACAGAAGCAAAAATGATGGGCAAATTGGCGATGCCCATCTGTCTAGTGAGTACGGATTTGGGCTCATTTGGACAAATTCCCTCGTAGAAATTTGTCAAAGTCCAAGACCTGGAATTCACCCTAACCAAAATGGCTGACTGATGTTCAATTTCGGATATAGGTCCTTGAGACTTTTTCATGCGTCCTGTTTCCAGCCAGTTTCATGTTGATTGGACTAGATTCGAGGCATTTTTTTTCTGTTCTCAGACAGTTTCAGGGTAACTAATAAACTGTGAAAAATTGACTTGTACATTTGCAGAGATCACCAATGGACCTTACTGTTACGTTGTTCACTTTGATGTTTGAATGAACTTTTACAGATTAGTGACACCATAAGAGATAGACAAGTAAGGGAAGAAAGGATGCAAAGAAGAGGCGAAAGACAGACAGGAGGAAAGGAGCCATCCACAGAAGGAACATGAACATCTGTCTTTCTGTTCAGTGTGTCTGCAGCAGAGGTGAACTGAGAACTGAGCCTTTATCATCATGTCTGGAAGGGTGAGGTTAAAAGTAGGAGAAGAGGGTCCAGGAGGCAAAGACAGGCAGGCAGACAAGGGGAGCCATAAGGTTAGGGTGAAGTTAGGAGGTAGGTGGTGGTTGTGGTAAGGGCTGGGGGAGGGGAGGGGGGATTCTGGATGAGGGAGGAGGCGGTAGGCAGGAGGAATAGGGAGTCAAGGAAAAGGGAACGTGGACCAAGATGGAGTATACTTGCCCTGGGTGTATGACACTGTGTGGATCCATCAGAGAAGGAGCAAGAAAAGAAACAGGGGGTCGGGTAGGAAGGGGTTTTGAGGGGGAGGGGTCACAGACAATATTTTATTCAATTTATTGCTTGAATAAAAATATTGTGTTCTTGAAAAAAAATACTGAAATCAAACAAAACAAGTAAAGTGGGATACACACAGTGATAATCGGCTCGATGGCTTGAAAGTAAGCGACCCTACGATTATCAGATGTCTTTGAAAATCCTGATCAATTTTCCTGTGGTGTGGTATGTTTAAAAACAGAACTCAAGGCAGAAAATGTTTTGTATGTGCCCCCACTAGTCTAAACAGAGTATTCTGATTAATAATTTTGCAATTGTGGAAAAAGAATTAAGCAGATTATCTGAGCAGGCTGCCATTTTGGCCGATACCGCCCTCTGCTGTCAACTGAAAGTGACATCACAACTGCCCTTGGGCTCGCATTGTGAAAGTCATCAGACCAAACCCAAAAAACTGTGACGTTTGCAATGCGAGGCTGAGGGGACTTTGATATCAATTTCCATCTCGAGCAGGGGGCTGTATTAGCCAAAATGGCAGCCCCCTTAAATGGATCAAACAGCTCGGTTAAACTGCTTAATTCTTCCTCCACAAACACAATATCAACCAGAATACAGTGGAGACTAGTAAAAAACTAAGAAAAACTGCTACGTTTAGTTCCCCTTTTAGAGTGATCTTTTTCTCTCGCCGATCTGCTTGGAAAATCATCATTGTGAAATCTTTTCAAAATTCACGATCATAAATCCTTGCTTGTGTGGTCAACACTGATTTGGGCCAAGCCAATTAGGAAGTGACCTGAACCTCAACATGACAAGAAGAGTTTGAAAGCGCAATATAGTTACTAGACAAGCCATGTGTTAGCGTAGCTAGCACCATATTTTCTCCTACACTTTCAAATTGGCATACCAATAATTGGGGCATTTTCCCTGCCTTGCAATCAAAAATCATTTGCGAATGTCTCTGAAAGCTTTTCCTGACCAATTATGATGTGGTGTGAGGTGTGTTAAAAGTATTTTTAATTCCCTGATTTGCGCTGAAAAACAACACCGAAATTACAAACTTGTTCAATATTTACGATAGGAAATCTCTTTTTCTTTATTAATTTGTAGCCATGGCACCATATCTCGGCACTAAGAAACTTTTATTCAACGGCAGCTGGTCTCGATTGCACCCACAATTGCCAATTTTTTTTTTCAGTTCCCGTGTGTGGTTTCTCGGATTTAGAAAAAATTGGTGACGATACTAAAAATCGATGTGTGTATCCCGCCAAAAAGAAATAAAGACCAAAAATCTTATTTGCCTGAGCAAATGAGAACGACATAAAAAAGAGACAATTATTGTGGAAAAATATCAAGAAGGAAGTACAACAAAGAAAGAATGAGAAAGACAACAGTGTGTCCCCATTCGGACCCACAAAACCCAAACTCCCACACATGAGCAGCCCGCACTTGGGCCTTGTGGGAGTTTATGTGCTGAATGATTCCAAAGCTCACACGCAGTACACAAAGTCACACATACAACAGAAGGGAAAAAAAATCAAGGAAGGCATCATAAGGAGGTGAGAAAAGCATGCATGTTTTTCCTCCTCACTAAACAATACTGGAACACACACGCTTCAGAATCATTTCTCGGTGGAGAAGAGGCGAGAGCATTTGGCAGAGAAATAATAATAATAATAAAAAAATAATAGCACAAAGTCACCATTATTTTCATTGGCGTAACATAGCTTTCACCTTTCTGTCTCTTCAGTTCGTTTTTTTCTTCAGCCGGAGCGAAGAAAAAACATCACCGTTTTTTTTTTTATGTTTGTTTTGTTTTGTTTTTACAGCACAGCATGGAGACAGGAGGAGGAGGGAGGAGGAAGGAGGGATACTCAGATCGGATCCAGCCTATCAGGGAGCATCGAGAGGAAGAGGGGGAGGAGGAGGAGCGGGGAGAGAAAGACGAGTCGCTCCGTTCCCTACGATGATGTTGGAGACCCCGGGGGATAAAAGTCCGACGTGAACAAGAGAGAGAGAGAGAGAGAGAGAGAGAGAGAGAGAGACGGGGGTGCGGTGTTGGTGATGAGAGGGTACTTACACTGCACCTGCAGGATCTGGTCGCTAAGGTTGGCTTTGATGTGGCTCTCGCTATATGTGGGCAGTACCAACCCTAAACTGAGATAGTCAGGCAGATGCACAAATATGAGCCACACCCACATGCAAAACAAGGTAAGTTCAGATACAGTGTGGGACTTAAAGGGACAGAATACAGACACGTTTTGGGACATCTAACTCGCCATTCATCCGTTTTCCTCGAAAACTTCTTTTTTATTAAAGATGTGGATAACTTGAGTATATCCCAATTAGATGGTGCATCCATATTCTAAACCGCTTGCCCTCATTAGGGTCACTTGAAACTGGAGTCTATTCAAGCAAACGTTTGGTACAATCATCCATTTTCTTTCATTCATTCGGGACACAGTTGAGCTGAAGCCTATTTCAAATGATTTTTGGACGGAGAGGGTATAATTTGCAATTCACCCTGTGATTAATTTGGTGACCAATCGGAGAGTGGAGCCCACGTTTTATAATTACAATTACCTGCAACCTTAATGCACATCAATTTCCCCATTGTAGGACTAATAAAGGTGATCTCATCTTAAAAGCTATCCAAAATGGAAAGCATTTTAAATGTAGCATCATTAACATCCCTCCTCTGACAGTGAGTCATAAGCAAAGCTGGTCCCTTAATCATATATAGTATGTATTAAATGAAGCAGAAAATCAACTCAGTGCTACACATTCTTGGATACGGTCATATTGACAGTTGAGTGTTTATGCCGACCAGCCACGACATTGTGACCACAAAGCTCAATTAAATGATATCCGATTCCAAAATGCCTTATCTTTTTCTTCTTCTTCCACCGCGGTACAAAATGAGTTTCACGTACCGTGTGTTGATTAGTTTTCATTCCATTTTACACAGGTTTAAAGGGGACAAATGCAAAATGTACTTTATTCTTGGAAAACAATAGCTGGATCTTTGGAGTGCCTGCCCACCACCAAGTGAAAAATCAAACAACCAAGTACACCTTTTGTAAGCTGCCTGTCTAATCTAATTCATTTACAAGTTTTGTGAAATGGGTCATAAATGGGAAGATCCGTCATTTTCAAGCGGCGGAGAGACTACACAGAAAATTCTCATGTCAGTAAGCTGAATTGCAGCAGTGTCAGCAAAGATAAGCAAAAACATCTAATAAACGGAATGTACTTGCCTAGATATTATTTAAAGTTGAGGGCGCCGCAGTAGGGGTGATTTGTGTTTTGGCAATGTGTCCACTGCATCCTCCGATCGCACGGGATATTATCCAATTACGTTTGATCGGTGGGGAAATTTATTATTTACTAGAAATAATGTTTGTTCATTTACGGTGTCTATGACAGCGACACATAGTGGGAGGTAGAACAATTCCATTCTCTTCCACTAGATGGCAGGAGGTGTACAAGCCTGTGGAGCCAACTGTTGCCATTCATACCACAGAAATCCTGTCACTGCTTTGTGTCCACCTCAACAGGCCCAGATTCCAAAGCTCAATTCAAGCAGTAAAAACAAATGGACTGCATACCTGTAGTCTGTGCCCTCCACCGGCGTCCAAGTGTACGTTCGTATGGCCTCGTCGATGTACCTCTGTGGATAACCACAGCACAGTGTCACATGGCTCCCCCATAATTGGCAGCAAGTCATTCACGACGGAGCTGCTTTGAAACATGACTGAGTCTCGGTGTATTGACGACTTGCCTCATCAACCGACTTAATGAGCGTCTTGATTTTCCTCTGCCCAGATTTGCCATCAATCATTTGTCTCCGGATCTGAGGAGAAATGGAGAGAGGGCGAAGGATGTTTGAAAACACAAAATATTACAAACAAAAGATTATTACAAAATATATATTGGGTATACAGTGAACTTCTACTGTTTGTAAGGAATCAGGACCGAGCCCCGCTGCGAAAAGCAAAACCCCACATACAATTCACACCACCATCACCAAAAAGGAATTTGTAATTACTTCGAGATGCCACAAGACAGGGGCAAAGGACTTACTGGAAATAAAACAGACCGGTATCCCGTTTGGATTGAATTACCGACTGCACAAATCAGCAAAACATCAATACCATGCATGTAGCATGTACACAATTTGGAACCCATGTTACATTAAAAAAAAAAAAAAAAAAAAAAATCATGATCTGTGTGGATAGGTGAACTGCTACGTAATGGCGATTACTGTACAGGAAGTCCTCACTTTATGACGGAAATCCGATGATTTGAGGTTAGGAACGACACGCAATAAATGCTCTTACCTCCTCCTTGTTGCTGTCTTCCAGTTCCGCGTCGAGGAAGTCCAGCGTGACAGGCTCCCTGAAGTTGATGATCTACTCGAGAGCACAAATACGTATAAGTAAAAGAACCAACTAATCGACCTTCTTCAGTTCTATAGATGCACACACACCTTCGGTCGCAGGTTGGGGTGTAGCAACACATAACCGTTTGGATCGGTCGCAAAGGTGTAACCGTTGGCGCCGAGCTGCATGACAAAATTATGTGGGAGGTGATGACGTCATCATCAATGTGCAAACACAAACAGTATATCACTGATTAAAGGTTAGGGATAATGCGTTTTCTGGGTGAACTTTCCAGATGAATTTTAAATGAATCATAACTTTTACGAGGTGAAATCAATTTGACTTAATATTTCAGTATTTTTTTGCACAACTTGCTGTTCGCTGACCATATTCTGTGTTGTGAATTTTGCTGTTCAGCTCCTAGTTAGAGTACAGCAAATTGAGCAAAAAGTACAAAATAGTAAACAGTTGGGCATTCCCAAGTTTCGACAAGGTCAAATCAAGTTCACAGTGTTTACAATTTACAGTGCCTTTTTAGCCCCATACCTGTAAATTTTTACAAGTACTGTCGTATAAAGTGTTTGTGTGTCCACCATGCTCACTCGATATGTGGGTGTCTTCTTTTTTATCTCGTTGATTGCGATGTCCACGCCCATGACTCCAAGGATGAGCTGGTTCTATTTAGGGGAGAGCACATTCAGTATTACACTGAGCCTGAAGAAGCTCTTCTGAGTTGTCACTTTGGGCCACTATCTGCTTAGCACCTACTTTAGCTCTTATCACTTCTATCTGTTCCGCTGCTTTACGCCCCGGTGATAAGCTCAAAGTAAATACTGAGCTTAAGGATGCTGAAAGACGGATCCCAAGTGCCGTCTGGGCGATAACAGTTACTGCACAACGTTGTTTGCAATGCCAGCTCTCACCTCGTGGGGGCACTGTTGGACTTAAGCACCACAGCTGTCGGCAGCATTGAGGCAATGGCTGACTCGTCAACATGCAACGAAGGCTTTCTTTCCACTGTATATTTAAGAGCCGCCCCCTGCCCCCCCCCCCAAAAAAATATATATATATATATGAAGGAAGGTTATATAGGATGAAGGTAGGTGATAGGTAGCTAAGAACATAAGGACTGGTAGGTGAACAGGTAGGCAGGAAGGAAGGTATACTGAAAAAAGTAGTTAATTTTCGGCTGCAAATAATTACAATGAATTAAACTAATGTATATCATTTGTTTAGTTTTGAGGAAAAGATGAGAAAATTACATCGGTTTATCACTTTCATGTGCATCCGATGTACGTTTGAATGGATCTTTTTTTTTTTTTCCCTAGTGTCGGTAGGTAGGTAGGTAGGTAGGTAGGTAGGTAGGTATTCCTTCCTAGGAATGTCAATCAGAACATAGCTACTGGTCGGTAGGTATCAAGGAACATATATAGAAAGGTAGGTTGAAAAGAAGGGGAAATTTATTTTTCCCCAACAACATTTCTTTAAATAAATTTAGTTGGAGAAAAAAAAAACTAAGTAGGAAGAAAGGTAGGGTAGGTAGGTCGGTAGGTAGGTAGGTAGGTAGGTAGGTAGGTAGGTAGGTAGGTATGTAGGTAGGAAGGCAGTAGGGAAGAAAGGAAGGAAGGGAAGCAGGTAAGTCGGTTGGAAGGGAGAAGGGAAGGAAATTAAGTGGAGAGGAAAGAAGGAAGGATGGTATGTTGGTTGGTAGGAGGGAAACAAAGGAAGGCTGGAGGTAGATAAGTAGTTGGCAGGAAGGATGCAAGGAAGGTAGTGGGTAGGGAAAAAGACAGCAGGAGGGAAAGAAGCGAGATGAGAAGGAAAGAAGGTAGGCAGATCACAAAGATAGGTAGGTCGGGAGGAAGGAAGAAAGGATGGAAGGAAGGAATCTATCTCACAAGGCAGGTAGAAATGTAGGTACTTGTAGGTAGGATGCAAGGAAGGAAGAAAAGGAGTTTTGTAGGAAAGAAAAGCGGGAGTAGGCAGGAATGTTGGTAAGAAGGACAGGAGGGAAAATTGGTACTTAAGTAGCTAAGTGGGAAGGAAGGTAGGAAGCGAGGAAGATCGGTAGGAAAGTCTATAGGTAGGATGGAATGAACATCATATCAGTGGATTATATGTCTTCTTCTTCTTGAAATCCAATGTAAACTTCATCTCATATAGTGTACCTGTGAGCTCGTTCTGTCAGCAGTGAGGTTGAAGACCGGCATGGTCCCCGTGATGACCAGGCCCAAACCCTACAACAGCAAAATGGAACAAACAACACCACCAACATCAATGGCGCCATTCACTCATCTGAAGTTTCTCTCTCTATGTGCTTTCCCCTCACCAAAGCATCCTGGTAGACGTTGGTCCACTGCACCTGTTTGGCTTTGGACCCGGCCAGCACCATGGGTCGTCCCAGGACATCCAGGTACTCCTGAGACCACACCATTAAAAACACAGCAGCGGTAAAACACACATGCTTTATTTTTATAGAGCTCGGCTTGCGTTAAAACAAGAATGCCTTTCAATATCTGTGAAACCAGAAGAGATTCTCTGTCGGTGGCCACATAAAGCAGGAGGTCATCGGCAATGGAAAAAGCCTCAGCAAGACACTCAAGGCTACAGTTCATCATCATGAAGGAGCTGTTAAAATCACATTAAGGGCCGTCAAAGGCATGACGTGCAACCGGGGCCATTTTTCCCCGGGGCTCTAATGCCAATGCTGGCATTGTGACAAAAGTCTCACGGCAATTGTGAATTGAGGTGAAGTGTTCAAAATAAAAGTACAGACCCATGCCAAAAAAAATGAAACGTTCCTAGATTATAGATTCAGGGACCACAATTTTAAAAGATTTCAAGTATATACAGTATTTGTGTATTCTTATATTATTTGGGTTTCCAGCTCATAAAAAAGAGGAATTTGAAAAATTTGAATACTGTGGGGAAATTAGCACACATCTGGCAGGGCATGATCGTTTTAAACTGAGTGTCACAGGTGTCACTAAATTGCTCCAGTTTGGTTCAATATGGAGAAGACTGCACACTTTACAACTGGCCAAGAGACCTTCACTGATAACATCCATAGAATGTGTAAGCCTTTCAAGTTCATAACAAAAGAGGCTGGCTGTTCAGAGTGCCGTGTCCAAGCATATCAATGGAAAGTCTAGTGCGGGGGTCGGCAACCCGCGTCTCAAGAGTCGCATGTGGCTCTTTAGCGCCCACTAGTGGTTCCCTGGAGCTTATTCAAACATGTTTGAAAATGGAAAAAGATGGGGGAGGGAAATCTATTTTTTTGTTTGAATATGGTTTCTATAAGAGGACAAACATGACACAAACAATATTTCCAATGCTGTAAAAATGTGTCGAATAAATATTACATTTCAACATTTCGTCAACGAGGATTTGCGTCAGAGCCTGCGACACACATTTCTATTTGCAGGGCGGGATGTCAGTCAGGGGGCTGTTGTTTAAAAAAACAAACAAACAAAAAAAAAAAACAACCTTTCTTGCACAATTCATCGAGGGTACTTGCAAAGAATGGGAATCTGGGTGGCCGAGAGAAGCATTTTTAAATGTTACACGTGAGCTACGATAGAACGCTGTGAAAGTGCGTCCCGTGCCTTGTGCATCTTAGCGGCCGTTATGGCTGTTGCTCATTACGGCATGCGTGTGTAAGTGTGTGCGTGTGCGGTAACGGGTCGACCGCGGGAGGTTGGTTGATCGAAAAGTAGATCTTCCGTCAAAAAAGTTTGGGCACCCCTGCTCTACAGGATGAACTGCAGGGGCGGGGGGAAACAATTAATCATGAATGCTTGTGTATTTGTAGCCAACTTAGTCATGTTGATAGTAGGCTAATATCGCTAATATAGATACATACAGCATGTGTTGAGTTCATGATCAGGCTTTTAAGTTTTTGCGGCTGCAGGCATATTTGTTTTTTGTTTTTTTTGGTCCATTATGGCTCTTTCAACATTTTGGGTTGCCGACCCCTGGTCTAGTGAAAGGGCAAAATTTGGCAAGAGAAGATGCACCAGCAAAATAGATGACCGTGGGGTTCCCTGGATTATCAAACAGAGAACATTCAAGAATCTGGCAGAGATCTGTATAGAGATGCTGATTTCATCTTCCAACAGGACCTGGTACCTGCCCGGACCGCCAGAAGCTTTTTTGTTTTTTTTGGTCCATTATGGCTCTTTCAACATTTTGCGTTGCCGACCCCTGGTCAAGTGAAAGGGCAAAATGTGGCAAGAGAAGATGCACCAGCAAAATAGATGACTGTGGGCTTCACTGGATTATCAAACAGAGAACATTCAAGAATCTGGCAGAGATAGATGCCATCACAGTGCTTGACTGGCGAGCCAACTCACCCGACCTAAACCCCATTGAGAATCTATGGTGTTTTATCAAAAGGAAAATGAGAGCCACCAGATCCCAAGCATCAAAGAAATTTGGGCTTCCATAATTCCCAGGCAATGCCACAGGCCCAGCGAGGCAGTGATATCACAGTGCTTGACTGGCCAGCCAACTCACCCGACCGAAACCCCATTGAGAATCTATGGTGTTTTATCAAAAGGAAAATGAGAGCCACCAGATCCCAAAACAAAGAAGAGCCGGCAGCAAGCATCAAAGAAATTTGGGCTTCCATAACTCCCAGGCAATGCCACAGGCCCAGCGAGGCAGTGATTCCCAACCAAGTACTGAAGATTCACATTATTTTGAAAATACCATATTTCGATTGATTGGGTGCGATCTTTTTCTTTCCTGCAAATAATTGAGAAGTACGCAGTTGCTTCTTCGCAGTATTCAAATTTTTTGAATTCCTGTTTTCATGGGTTTCAGGAACCGGAAGCCCAAATTATGAAAAAAATAAACACATTAAAAACTGTGTGTTTAAATTGTGGGCCCTCAATTTAAAATATATGAAACTACCTTTTTGAATGGAATTGTGGAAATTAATGAACATTTTCATGATATTCAAATTTTTTGGAAAGGGTCTGTCATATGTCACATAATGAGCTAACTTTTTAACCGGAAGCCCAAATTATGAAAAAATAAACACATTAAAAACTGCGCATTTAAATTGTGGGCCCTGAATTTAAAATCTATGAAACCACCTTTTTGAATGGAATTATGGAAATAAATGAATATTTTCATGATACTCAAATTTTTTGGAGAGGGTCTGTCATATGTCACATAATGAGCTAACTTTTTTAACAACCTCATCCATTCATTCACGCTCATTTTATCAAAAGCTGAGTATAGTTATGAGGAAGAGTGTGCCCCTTTTTTTGGGAATATTGACATTTTGAAACCTTAGAAAAATAAACATTGGTGCTTATCATATTGTCGTCAATTAAAACGTATTGTAATACAGTTCAACAGAGTCCATCGTCAAAATCATGAAACGAGCATTGCCGATGTGGTATTGTAACCCTTTCAGCTTTAAGGGATATCTGGACACAAACAGCAAGTGGGGCAACACACATAGACAAACAGTATAACAATACTGACACGCATACATTGTCTAAGGCACAGGTGACAAACTCAAGGCCCCGGGGGCCAGATCCGGCCTGCAACATCATTTTATGTGGCTCCCCGAAAGAAAATCATGTGTGTCAACTTGCATGATCCTTGCTAAAAAAATGTTCCGAAATGTCAAATTGTCATCTGTAAGAAATGACGTTGAGATTTTGTAATAATTGTGTTACCCTTACGACTAATAATGCGATAATGTGATTAAACATTTTTGTGGTTTCACTGTCATAATGGCCCTCCGAGGGAAGACCTAACTATAAAGTGGCCTGCGACAAAAAATGAGTTTGACCCCCCTGGTCTAAGGTCTTACCATATTGTCCTAACTATAGTTTTGGTGCGTACCAAAACTATTATCTTGATTGAAAAAAAAAAAAAAAAAAGATGCCACCCCCCCACCCCCCCCACGGTAAAATGAATGTGAAGAAAAGGAAATACGACAATACGGAAAGGAAATACTGCACGTAAATTTTGACCTTTGAGTACATAACCTTGAAATACACGTGTGGGGGCGTCCTACCCGAGCACACGTCCGTGTCGGCGTCAAGCTCCTGACTGTTTGCTTTCATCGGCTGAACCGCGAGATGCTGACAGGCGTAACCTATTCTATTATTAGCTCGATAAAAGTCCGCTTAAACGCGCCACTGGGAGATATTCCATCAGGACAGTGACAGCCAGACCTTTTCACGGCATATAGGGGAAATTTTACGCCTGGCTAGAACAATCTAGGGTGCATAAAAACGGTAGCGAGCACAAATTTGTGGCGCAAAGGAGCCAAAGCCATATAAAGTCACAGCAGCCCCGCTTGGTGATTAGAGGCCATTATCTCCATAATTGCTTCCATCATGCCAGGAAGTCTAGCAGAGCAAAGATCGCAAGAATTCTGCCTTTTTACAAAGAGAATAATGCTCACTTTTGATTGTCACTTTCAAAGAGGTATTGATGGACACTCGTAACCCACAAAAAATGAAAATAAAACCCCGAAGTCCATCATTTTTCATGGTTAATGGGGACCAGAAATCCCTCGCGAAAGATGAAAACCACAAGGTAGGATTTGCTCCCCCCAGAAATTTTTGTGAATATGTATGTACCAGCATGTTTAAAATACGTAAACAGTATTCGTGCTTTACATATTTGAGACAAAGATTACGACAACATACATATTTACTTAAATCTTTAATTTTAAAACCTTGTATAGTAATTAACATTCATCAACAATGCCTCCCGAGAGAGGGTGAAGTGGCTTGTATTGGTGCCGTCGAAGGTGGCTCTCAGTTGACTTGTACAGGCTTTAGCTTTCCTCTGACACTCTTCTGCTGGAGGCGCTGATGGTGTAGCTGAGGTTTTTAAAATGGAGAAAAACAAGGTGATGAGTAGTGCGATGACGTTCATCTTATCTTCTAATTAGTTGAAATAGGTTTAAGGTTTCTTTTTTTAATCATAGAATGGTCTTTTTTTTTTTTTTTTGGGGACGAAAAAAACTCTGACCTACCTGACAGTTTCGGCTGTCACTCCAGCCTTCTTTTGAGCTGTCACTGCCTCCTTGCGGCGTGTCTAAAAACAGCTGACTGGGTTGGGAGACCTTCAAAATAAGGCTCCTCGACCAGGGCAAGGCTGTGAATCCCCCCCGCCACCACCGTTGATGGGGCAATCTCCGTGAAGGGACAAGCTTATGCAGAGCCACGACGCATTGGTCCGGCAGCGACAAGGGGTCAAAAAAAGTTAGCGCTTAAACAAAACAAACAAAAAAAAAAAAGTTATCACGCGCGAACACAACACTAAGATATAGTGAGCAAGACAAGGAAAAATGCTGGTTGAGGCTGCGATGATTCACAGCCAATCAGCTCATGGGATAAATCCACTCTTGCTCTCTCTGGTCGATGTCACGGAGAGAAACAATCATGCGCCTTGTTTGCGCCTCACTCCCACCCGACATCCGAAATATTGACTCTCTTCCTATATTCAAAACTCATCTTAAAACCCACCTATTTAAAATTGCATATACAGTTTAAACTCATCGCTTTTATTATTTATAATTTTATCTGTGGTTTTATTGCTCTTTTGATTGTAAAGTGTCGTTGGGTATTTTGAAAGGCGCTTATAAATAAAATGTATTCTTATTATTATTATTGTTTGAGTGGGCATGTACAGTAAAACCTCAAAGTCACTTCAGCTCTCAGGGAAAATCTTCTCTCTTGCACATCAACGTGAAGCAACGTGTCTTTCTGCAACATGGCAGTTGATGTATCATGATTTATTCACTTTGCATTGGCCACCAAGGGGGCGGTGTACTACATCTAACAGGACATTTGTGACAACTGTTACCATGTCTGTCTACATGCGGGAGACTTTTTTGTGATTCCTGTTTCAACAGACACCAAACTCTTTATTGATTGGTAAAACGGCTGTGAGCTGCTGTTATTATTTATGTATGTATGTATTTATTTATTTAACACCCCCAACGGTGATGAGCCTTTGATGTCATGCTCTGCCGCCATTCGATTTTATGTCCAAAAAGCTTTGCAATTTAATGGCACCTAGCTATCTGGGATACTTTGTGTCTGATTGGGTCCAATTTGGGTGAATTTCCCGGTAGAGGATGGTCAAAGTGAGCACCGTGGAATTTGCCAACAAATGGCATCGGCCATTTATTTGTGGAAATGATAATAATAAACACAGCAATTCCAAGAATAAGATTCATCTTTGAGCTGTCTGTCTGTGCTAACAGTGTCTTTTTGGGACTCATGTGGCTCTGAAGGGGCTGAGAAAAAGTTGTGTGTGCGTGGGCATGTGTGTGTGTGTGTGTGTGTGTGTGTGTCAAATCCTAGAGCTTCAATGAGCTTCTCCACAGGGCCTCTGTCAGCTCGCCATTCCTCAAGCAAGCAAGAGGGAACCCACGGTGTGTGTGAGGGCGGTGAAAGAAAACATTCTCGTGAAAGAGAAGTCAGATCCTCCAGTAAGTCATGTGAAACACCGTAACTTCCCTTGTAAAGTCATCCACTTGAGAAGACTTCGTGTTATAAAGCACCTGAGGCGTATTGCCGCGGCGTAACCATTGAGGAAACAAAGAAGGAAATGAGCCTCTTCAAAAGTCATTTTCATTCCCTTTCACAAGGCCATGTTGTAATCTTGTACATCTCACCTGGGTGTTGATTCGGATGGCTCCGATCGATGGGATTTCAAAGTAGTAACCTGAAAATAAAAGAAGATGTATCAATATTATTCCCACTGCAAGCTCAACCACAAAATCAAGTCACTGAATCGGGTTACAGACATACAGTAGTTGGGCGTCTCCACTTTCTTTTTTTCTGTCCCAAAGAAACTAATCCGAAAACAATTGAAGCCTACAATTGTCAATGTGAAACCTATTCATAGTTTAGATTCGAAAAAAAAAGAAGAAAATAAAGGTTTGTGGGCAAAACTGATTTTTAGTGATGTTAAAATGCTAATTCTTCACCCCCAAAGTAATGTTTTCCTCCATTCCCTCAGAACATTGTTGCTCATTCCTTCTCTCTCAGCACCAGCGCCACCCAATCCAAGAAAACGATTGGGTCTTCAATCTCATACGTATAAGCTTGAGGAGCCACCCTCACACCAGCCCAGCAGACGAAACACACGCCCACTTTCTCAAGCAAGCTCGTGGGATCTCCGAGAGGCGCTACGAGCGACCACCTCGGCCGAGACGCCGGCCTCCCTGACTGGAGCTCTGCGGGACGCCCGGCGAGCATGTTCCGTAAAGTGGCGGTATGAGCGGCCTCCCTGGCCGAAGCTGTAAGTGTGAATCCAATTCAAATTTTCCATATTATGAGATCCACAGAATGGCGTCAGCTTGTACGGATGACGTGGGATGACAGAGCTGACCTCTCTGCACTCTCGAGTCCACCGTCGCGTGATTAGAAATGGAGGAGAGCGAGGGCCCTGGTCAATCAGCGTGTCTCTCGCCAAGTTATTAAAGCCATCAGTGTTTATACAAAGAGGTGCAAAACCGCATACGGCATCAACGGCATTTATATGGCCTGAGATGACGCTTTTTATTTTTGATATGTGGTGAACCTTGTCGAGCTGCGAAGCTGTCCCAAGCAGACAATGACACACACAAACACACACACGGGCACACACACGCTCTACAACGATACATCCCATTTAATTGTATAGACTGTCCTTAGTCTATCAGTAGTGGATTTAACAATTCTACTCACCCCTGTTTAAATGCCATTTTTTTGTGATACAAACGCCCCCCACACCCCCCCCAAAAAACAAAAACAATCAAACCAAAACAAAAACAAACAATGAGACCAAGATAAATAATTTAAAACATTTTCCTCACTCGGTGTGACCTTTAACTTGAACAACTCGATTGAAATTGTTTTTCCAATCTTTTCAAGAGGGGAGGAAAAAGTAAAAAAGTGAGATAAGGTGATTGCACAAGTCTCCGCACGCTCTTAGACTCTATTTGGGGACATAGCCATGTTCAAAATTAATCAATCACTATCAATCTATGGTAGTTAAAAAGTTAAATGGTAGTCCACACATACCAGACACTATTTAAAGTGATTAACCCCAAATGAATTTTTTATGTTGTAATAGGTTTCCCTGCCATTTTTTCCCTAGCAGATTTCTGAAGGTTTTGTGCCAACATCAACTGCTACAGTATTTGGAGCTGTTCATAATTCCCCCCACGTTGTCGCAGGCTGCAGTTCCATCTTATGACCAAAGAGCACAAAGCATGAGGCTACCACGGGCATGCTTGGCTGAACGTATGGTGTTTTAGAATTTTTTATTTTTTTTGGTGGTTGAGCAATTGCTGACTTGGTGGCAAAATTACTTTTTGGAATGATGATAAAAAGTTCAACCTTCATTTAAAAATATTCCACAAACACACAAGAAATCTCTCACATGTGAGAAAATCTATTATGATCTCATGACAAAAAGCTTGCATATTATTTATTTCTATTCTGCGCCTTATAATGCAGTGCATCTTATGTATGAAAACTCTTTTACACTAGGCCATACATTGAAGGCACGCTTTATACTCCAAAGCACCTTATAGTGCGGAAAATACGGTATCTTATTTTCATTTGTTTATATATATCACAAAAACATGGCATTTGAGCAGGAGTGTGGAGACTTTTTAAAAATAAAAAACACTCTCTATAAGAGCAGAACACACATCACAACATGTCCTCATCACCTCTCTCCCATTTTAAAAATCGGTGCAAATGTTAAAAATCGGTAATGTGTGTACGCTGCTTAACTGTACCAGCTATGTGCACGAAACAGGACAGTGGTCAGCTCTTGTGTCGGGGAGCTGTCTCTGTTGGAGTCAGATAGCAAAGACCAATCAAGTCCCGAGGATGTGGAGAGGACATATCCTGTAAGAGACGTGCGTCGGCGCTATTGTTTTACCTCAGCGGCGAGCTAATCGCTTCGGAGGTGAAAAGCGAAGCAGTCATAATCCTTGCCACTCAGCTCAGTCTGACACGGAGATGACGAGCTAATCACCCCACAGGCAGACGCCGCTCCTGCTAATTAATAACGTCTGACGAGATATGTCTGAAGTTTTCCGAGACCTCATAAAGGAGCTTTCAGATTGAGCGGAGACAAATAAGACATGTCTAAAGGAGAACATTTAAAAATAACTGAGCTGGGTGGAAAGAAAGTCTACTTTGGGGCAATCAGACATATAACTTCCCATTTCCCAATTTATTCATTACTTAACAGTAGCAAGTGACTAACTAGAGTTGAACCTTGGTTGTTATTAAAAGCTGGGTGATCGACAACGCATTCATGATCAATTCACACTGTGCAGATTAACAGTCAATTTTAACAGGGGTCACCAACATCGTAAACCCGGATACCAAATCAGTAGTCCTTTGCATTAATCAGTACCAGAGAAACTCACTATTTAAAAAAACCAAAAAAAAAAAAAACCATTGGCAACATAATGTGACAAGAAGACTGTGATGTACATAAACAGCCTGACAACTAATAATAAGACTAATTATGATATCAATATAGCAGACTTATCGCTTATTTTTTGATACACTCAAAGACACTTCACATACAAACAAATAACATTTAACTGGAGGTAGAGCCAATTCCTATTCAGTAAAACATTTAACGACATTGAGCCCACATTTACCTTTGTTGGCACAAGCGATCCACTGCAGCGGGGTGACGTCATAATTATGCTGACCCACCGAGAAGGTGAACACACGCACCTGTGGGGGAGAAACATGAGGCAGTTGAAAATAAATGCAAGGGGTAAATGACAAAAACAAAAACTGGAATCATTCAATTGTGTATGATACTCTACTGTGACAGTGTCATAAAGGTTGTTCAAAAAAGCGGTCGGATTACAATGACAAGGTTACCAAATGTTTACATTGATTTCTGCTCACATGGTAGAATATTATTACCACAAATTGGCCTTCACAAAGACAACAATGCTCACTTTATACTGATACTGTCAAAACGGCTGCTTCAAACTATCTGTCCTTAAGACTTTTTTGTGCGTCCGACCATGACTGATATCCTATGTCCATCCAATTTCATGTTGATGTGTGAAAGTGGTGTCTGGCTCTAATTTATTTTTATTTTTTTAACTTTCGAGCTTTTGGAGTGTGTCATGTGTGGTACCCATTGAAATACATCCATTTTCACCAGGGTACAAACGCTTGAAAAAAACTGTAGCTTTTTCGGGCATTTTGAGGCCCCCAAAAGGCGGAATAACAACAATAACCATGGATTCCAAGAGGACTTTTTGCGCAGGCCCCAAATATGTGCAGAAAGATAACCGTGGATCCAACACACCTCAATGGAAGGCATTACCTTTGCTGTCATGTACCGCAAACACACAAATGTAGAGTGCGATTAGATTAGCCTACTCGACGCATCTTGCACAGCTGCCTCGCAAAGAACCACGGCGGTGCTTGTCGGAATACAGATTATTCCTGCATGACAGTAGCTGTCGGCGCGCAAGTAGATGGTAATGGATAGCGGGATAAACGTGAGATGGCGGAGGCCTGGAACACAGCCGCCGACTATTGGCTGTAATTTTTTTTTCACAGGCTTTTGGCGATAAAGCGGCTAATTAGTTAGCGGGTCAAAGCTGTTAACACCAGCGGCGAGAACAAAAGAGACGAGCAAAGACAAACACAAACAACAAAGACGGGGAAATAATCGACTCGTGTGCTGATGGCACAAGGTCAACGCGTCAACACGAGATGTTCACGGTCACGTGCGATTGCTTTTCGGTGACTGACCGTTTTGTTGGGCCAGTTGTACTTCTCGAAGATTTCCTGCGCCCGATCCTCCCCTCCGTCTGTAAACATCATGATCATCTTGTTGCAGTTGGCCCTTGGAGCACTGCTCTCCTATGAGAAGGAAAGAAAGAAATGCAAAGATACAAGTGAGCATTTGTGGCGCAACAGCTAGGAGGAAGGAGGCTTCAAAAAGTAACACTGCATTGATAAGCAATGAGCAGGGTAGTAATGCAATTGTTGCCACTACAACCAAAAACATACATCTAAAATGTACTGTAGAAGAATAATTGTTTATTCTTAATTTGCTGTACTCATTAGATTTGCAATAGAAGTGGGGTACACCCTGGACACATGACATTTGGGCTACAGTGTCTGTGTTTTGCGGACCCACGTGTGGCATCGGTCCCCCAAGCCCGCTAGATTTTTAATAGGAGCTACTGAGAAACACTTAAAATTTAATTCACATGAGCAGCGTTGCAAATTCATGGGAAGTCAATCTGGCGTGGTAAGTGAAAGTGAGAAAATGAGGACATACCGAGAACTGGCTGTTAACTGGCTTTAGCGTTAGTCACTGTGTTTGTGAAGTTACGCTTGCCAGTTGATGCTATCAGCAGGTGTGCTCACAATGTCCTTCTGTTGACTGTATTTTGTCACCATTTCTTTCAGAAAGCGATTGAAAGAGAACCAGTGGCTAGTTCCAACTGCTACACAAGCCACCTGTTATCGATAACAATTGCTTCTAACTAGCGGTAGTTAACTAGCGTAACTTAGCAATAGGCACACTGGCTTATTTCATTTTGTGTGAAATGTCCCCAAACATTGGACATTCTGTTTTCCTGCCTATAATTTCAGCCTCGCGCTTATTGCCACATGAGTCAGTTGTAACAGTCCATGTCGAAAATAAGAAACACATTAAAACATTAATAAATAACACATTATAATATAAGTACATATTTAAAAATCTGCTCTGTGCTGAACCCGCAAAAACGGAACCACCGTCTAGTGAGGGACGACGTTACACGACGCTATTTTTATTTTTTAGGACCACTTTGTAAGAACTGTATTTGCATCATTTTTGTTTTCAACATTGAGTTTAGTAGCAGCCAGTCTTGTGCCTGCGCAGCATCTGGCGCGGACACCGCTGCCAGCCATCTGACAAGCCCCTAATAATGATAAATAATATCGCCACAATTACATATTTGATAGGGCTTCTGCCACCAATCGTAAGAGCAACGATGCTGTCGACAGCCATTAAAAAGGGCCTTTTTATTTCTTGCAGTAGACTGTGTGTGTGCGTGTGTGTGTGTGTGTGTGTGTGTGTGTGTGTGTGTGTGTCTCTCTCTCTCTCTCTCTCTCTCTCTCTCTCTCTCTCTGCCACACTTGGCAGTGTGCCACCAAGCCAACAGAGGAGCATAAAGAGAGGCTGATCTCTGCTGGACCATACTCATCAATCATCCCATCAGAGCTCATTAGGGTGTCAGCCTGCTGGAATACATGGCAACATACGGGTTTGGGAGAGAAGAGGGGGGTGGGGGGTGACGGCACCTGTGTTGCCGGCGTGTGTGGACAGTGGGCTGCCGAGTCGTCACAGAAACGCAGACACACACACAAAGCTTGAGCAGGTGAGAGCATCACTGTACTTCAAAATCAGTTGGAACTGATTTGTCTCCGGTACTTCTATGACTAGGTACTTCTATGACTACGGATGGGCAGAGCATAGTGGACGAGTGATTGGCTTGTCACCTGCAAGGTCAGAAATTACATTCCTGTGCTTTGCGTGTGTTTTCTCAGGCTAAACCTGCTTCCTACCCCCCAAAATTTCCATATCTGTTTATTAACGACTCTTTACCGTCCAGAGATGTGAATGGTTGTTTGTTTTTATATATCCTGTTATTGCTTAGCAATCATTCCAGGACTGAACCTATTTTTCTAGCCCAAAAGCCAGCTGGGGAAAACTTCAACTCATCTGCAAATGGCGCCAAAGCACTACAACTTCTTAACTGTCCAAAATGACATGAAAGTGCAATATCATACAAACATGCAATGCATATTAACATATTTTACATGCAAAATACATACTGGGTGGATCACAATTCATCAATATCTCATTATATAATAACAGTCACTACTATACTTTCCCTATGCACTAGTTGTGTTACCTTCTCTCTCTCTCTCTGTCTCTCTCTCTCTCTGTCTCTCTCTCTCTCTCTCTCGCTCTCTCTCGATAATTCAGTTTTAGAGGTTGATTTATGAAGACGTCACATTAATGATCCTCAAGTAACTGAAAATTGGTCACCTGACTACACATTTTTCCTTCTTTGGTTCTCAATGTGGAGATGGGATTCAGCTGCTGTTAAGTGCAGAGCTGGATCTATTCTTCGAGACAGAAAGCTGTTGGCCACCCCGAAAACTTGGAAAAATCATCAACTATTTTTCTTTTCACCTTTACAAGAATGCGGATGAAATTAACTAGACAATACAAACATTTTATATAATTGCTTTCTTGACTGACTTTCCAAAGGTTGAGGAATTTTAAAGTGGCCCGTTCATCCTTCCATTTTTTTTGTATGCGGGCCACCCCTGGTTTATACAGTAACACGATTTAGGAAGCTCAGTATGGAAGAGTTGTGTCCAACCCTTGTCACACTTACATTGAGAAGCTGCTCAAAGGCAAACGTGAAACCGGATTTATAGTCTGTGGTTCCTTTGGCTTGCATGTGCATGACTGCCTCTTTGAAGATTTTCTTGTTGCGCACGTTGGCTTGGACCAAAGTCCTGAAGCAGGGCACCACAGCATCGGCTTCATCATTAAACTGCAAGAGAAAAACACAAATACAAAACCCAAACAGCATCTGTCTCTATGTGTGAGTTGTGCGTGGCAATTCAGCTGCCGACGTGGGGGTGTGCGCAGTTGCAGACTGCCCTGCGACTCTCAAGTTGGCAGTAAACGCTGGTAATTACAACTTTGCAACCAAAGAACAGGTGCACCTCAACTCGTTACAAAGCACCAAAGAGAAACCTGGCCAAGGCAATATAATTTGCCTCATCTTATCCAGACAATTAGCCTTGAGTCGTATGCATCCACATTTACTTGGAGAGTATATCTGTGCTCGAATGTGAAACTTTGAATATAGACACAATTTGCAATTAAGTCTTTTGCAAAAAAAAACCAAACAAAAAAAACTATATATATAT